GAGGGAACAAGGGGAAAGGATGTTGGGAGGAGGCTTGGGTGTGTCTGTATATTCTTTTTCCGTAGAGTTGACACCTAAAACAAACAAGGCAAATGTTACCATCTGTTAAATTGTGTGGGATTGGAAGGAGGGTTAATAGTGAGAAATGTTTTATTTTCTGGATTTTTTTTTGTATGTCTAAAATATTTCATGGTTAATTTTTTAAAGAAAAAGTGGAAATAAACATCATTTACACAAGTGAAATCTACAGATGAATGTATATTTAAATAAGTTAAATATCAAAGTTTTAAAGTTTGTGTGTGTACCACTTAAAATTATCTTACACACCCTGTGGAAAACAGTGACCGAAGGTGCTACAAATTAGCAAGTGCAGCTAAGTGTCAACGCAGCCACTTCCAGCAGGAACTCTTGCTCCCCACCCACCCCAGAGGGCCATGAGGACAGCATGTCACCATTTTTCTCTTGCCCCTTCTGCTTGCACTTATTACTGAAGATCTTCTCCTTATCCAAGGCCTCCCACTAGCACTGTCTTCTTGCATAATTATGGCCAAACCAATCAGACTAGGTATTGTCAGGTCTGCATAATGATCCTCTGAATCATCAAGACCAGGTTAAATCATGCTCATTATCTTCTGTTGGGGAAGGTGGAGGAATATATTGTATCCTTTTTAGACAGATTTCCATAAGAAAACAGTCAAAATAAAAAGAGATATGACTCATCTCATGGGAAAAATGATTTATATGAAACACCTTTCTCAATAATGATAGATAAATGAAGTATTACTATAAGTAAACAACTTGTTTAAAATACATAAAACAAATTACAAATAAACTTATTTTTAAATTTTTTTTAATGTATTTTGGACCTATTTCAAAATTTTCATCATTTGATAGTAACTTTGTGTTTAACACATGATTCTGTACATTGTGCAGCTCTAAGAAGCAGTATGAGCACAGACTCTGGAGTCAGACTGCCTAGATTTAAATCCTTATACTGAGTACCAACTGTATGACTGTGGATAGGTTATTTAACCTTTCTATGCCTACATCACCTCACCTGTACAATGGGAATAATAGCTCTTCCTTTTACAGTCACTGAGAAATTTGCCTAGGACTCAAGTGTTTATAAATATTAGCTCCTATTGTAACACTAAATATTGTTTTTGATTCTTCACTTGTTTTATAACCCTTATTTCTTTCTGCTAAGTTAAGAATTTTAGATAGTGAATTCTATCTTTCTAAGTCAGAATCCCTATTATTTCAAGTTTTGCTCAGGAGATATTTGAAGAGGAAGAAATATTTTTCTACTTTGTTTATCCAAGAAATACCACTGGAGGTATTTATGTCTGACAACAATGATCCGGAGACAGAATGTATAAACTTGACTGTTGTAAATATCTCTGCACTATTCAAGTGTATTTGAGTTGATTGCATCTTTATCTGACTGAACTCTGCTGAGTCATTCTTTCTTGGATGGAATGTTATTTTTAGAAATGGATCATTATTCTTGCTTCTTATCTGAGATTGTATCTTGCTGGCACACATTAAGGGCAAATGTGAAGAGCTCTTCTGATGCATTATTCAGCAAATCAGAAGCTGAAGTTGTTTTATGTTAAATACAATCAAAATTAGACAGATGCAATGTCTGTGTGGGCAAGATTTTCTGCAGGGCAAAGATTTTCCCATTTTATCTCTGTATCATTTTATTGGTGAAAGCACCTGATTTTTAGTCAGACCAAGACATTCATCTTCTTTAACTCTCATTGTCAAGACATTCTTTTAACACTCAACGATCCTTTATGTGGTTCACAACTATAATTCACAACTATAATTTGAGATTCAAAATAATGAATTTATTATTCCCTTTTATTTTTCTAGATAATTTAGATGGTACTTATATACTTAAATGTTAAGGTTTTAGATTTTCTGGTGAAACATAAAAGAACGTGAGGAATGCAGGACAGGGGAAGGGAAGGAGCTGAGCAAACACAGTTTAAGGAGAAGCTTAGGGCTTTGAAGAATGAATTGCACTGGAGAATTGCCCCCTTCCCACAGACGATGGAGGTGGGCTCTCATAATCCCACATCAATCAGCCAATGGCTGTGGGCCACCAGCACGCTGAGGGGGCAGGGTTAAATATCCGTGTTCAAGACCTTGCCTTGCTTGTTGCACCACATCAATTTTGATCATCTTCATCTCTCTTTCTCCTCAGCCACTCAACAGTCACGTGTAGAGCTATTTCACCAATATAATTTCAAACTCCGAAACAGTTGTCTCTGATCAGAGCTGCCTTTCTGCCACTTGTCTTCTCTCTCTTTCTCCTACTAAATCTTCACAGTGACCTCAGTTCCCTCCTCTGGCTCCCTCGTCCCTGCTCGGTCCACGGTCCTCAGTATCACTTCTGCATCCAGCTTTGACTGCATGACCAACCGTGACACTCAAGCTCTCAGTCTTCATGTAAGACACACTGCACCCCTCCTAGTTCATTTGCATAGACATTTTCCTCCAAATGGAATGCCATTTTCATCTCTTGGCCTGACAAACTCCTACCTATCTTTCAAGAACTATCTAACGTGCCATTTCATCTGTGAAGGTTTGTTTATTTTACTAAGCCAGAAAGGGCCCCAAAGTAAGCATTTGCTGTCTGTGGGCTTCCCATCACCCATTTTACCTTTCTCACCATACCAATTTCCTTGTGAGGAATTAGGTCCTCCCCAGTGGATATGTTCTTATAGGAATGTAATAAAAAGCCTTGTCTTCCATACTAGACCCATCAGACTCATCATGGAGTCTAGAATACAAAGGGTAAGATCCTAAAAGATTGGATTCCAGTCCATCCCAGTAGCCGCATCTGTCTCTGCTTCCAGAGATGCTTTGATTCCTGACTGACCCCATTGATTCCATGAGTTTTCAACAGCCTCCTAATAAATTCCTTTTGCTTAAGTCAATCAGATTAGGTTTTTGTTGCTTACAAACAAAGCAAGCTCCTGTACTCCCACAGTGCCTTATTACATAGTGCCTACCACATGGCCTTGTACTTTTTGGTAAACATGTCTGTCTCCGCTAAGCTGAGACAGTGTCTCAGTCATCTTTGTAAACACAATATCTAGCATTGTGTCTAACACATGGTAAGTATTCAGCTCATACCAATTAAGTGAACAAGTAAATGTATGAATGACAGAGAACAAGTTGTTTCCAGGTCTCCTATTTCTCATTAGTATTTGAAACAAGCAAGTGGACCATTTTTATTCTAAAGATTTGCTTCTAGTTATTAGGAACAAGAGGATTCTGCATGAATTTCACAATGACAAGTGACAGACATTAAGAAATAGACTTGGTTAGAGAAATTTACAATTGAGTGTCAGCAGAAGAAGGCATAGATTCCCATTTCTCCCGTTATCTAACAGAGAGTTGGTCTGGGGATTGCTGGACACATGAAAGATCTACCTACTACACTATGCTGAGTATAATCATGAGAACACAGCCTTGTCAAAGGTGGGCTAGTTGGGCATTCAGCTGCTTGGGAAAGTCAGATGTCCAGCATCTGGAGACCTTGAGAGCCCATGGGAAATTTCATCCCCTATTGCTTTTAGAAGGTAACCACTGATCTGATCAGAGGCTGAGTTTGGGTACATCTATTCTCACAGGGAGAAGGGACACTTGTTTTCCAAATGCTCCAGGGTTGGCATCTGTATTAGTTCACTAGGGCTACCATAACAAAATACCATAAGCAAGGTGGCTTAAACAGCAGATTACTTTCTCACAGTTCTGGAGGGTGGAAGTCCATGATCAAGGTGTTAGCAGAGTAGATTTCATTCTAAGGCTCCTTTCCTTGGCTTATAGAGGGTCTCATTGTGTCCTTACATGGTCTTTTTCCTGTGCCTGCATGTCCCTGGTGTCTCTTCCTCTTATAAGGACACCAGTCATACTGGATTAGGGCTCCACCCTAATGGCCTTATTTCTTTAATCACTTCTTTAAAGACCTTATCTCCAAATAAGGTTACATTCTGAGGTACCGGGGGTTGGGACTTCAACATGTGAATTTGGGGGGGACACATTTCAGCCCATAACAATATCCAAGTTAGATATGGAGTAATGATAATAAGAATGCAGAAGTAATAATATGTCAAGAACGCTTTACAAATTATATCTCTGACAAACAGTGAAATACAAATTCATCTAGTTGGCCACTTTGCACATTTGCTGTTGTTCTCAATACTGCTCTGGCATACCTACTCTGCCCTCTCATTCCTGATGGTCATCCCCAGAAGTTCTCAATCAGGCTAGAAAGGTCTTAGAAAGGTTCTGGGGAAGGAGGAGGGAGCCTTGGGCAGATCAAAATTTTCAGGGAGATTCTCTTCCAGTCCTAGGTACATACTGGTCATCTTGGAGATGCCCATTGCTCATGAAATCTTAGTTCAGACAAGGGAGTCTGAGAGCTGAGAGCCTGATGTCTAAGATCCAGGCTGTATAGTTCACCAGGCAACCCCCTGCTTTGTAGGCCTTGCTTCCTGTCTCCTGCTTACAAGACTTTGCACCCCTTTCCCACACCGGGAGCATCTCTCTTCCTCCCACCATCAGAAGGCTCTCTCTGTCTCTTCCACCTTCTAAGAACCTTTCACAAAAAAGAGGAAGAGGGTACCTTTGTAGGCAGCTTATACCAACTGACCAAAAGTGAGGTGATCTTGAAATGTAGAGGTTCAAAAATAAGGAGAGAAAAATCCAAACAAATATGCCAGCACATTAACATATTCTTTTTTAAAATATAAAACATAGCAGGGAGGATAGAGCTCAGTGGTAGAGCACATGCTTAGCATGTACAAGGTCCTGGGTTCAACCCCCAGTACCTCCATTAAATAAATAGATAAATAAAGCAAATTACCACCCCTCCAAATAATAAAATAAAAAAGACAGAACTCTTTTAAAATGTTTTAAAAAGGACCCACCACATAAAATACAAAACACAAAAATAATTTTTTTTCTTGTTTGTTCATATACAGTAGGAAAGCAAGCAAAGAAAAATACCGTAGATGAAGGAGATCAGCTTTTTAAGATGGGCCTCAAGATTCTTCATCAGTCTAAAAGCCAAAAACAGAAAGCAGAGTAAGTCTTTATCCAGCTACTTAAGCCAAGTTAAATTTCCAGGTTGAAAAAAAAAAATCCAAAATCTAGTTTGTCATTAAAAGCTTATTGGCATGACAAATAAGCTTATACGCCCATAAGCTTTTGTTTTTAAAAGGACCAAATGGTGTTTAAAGAATCCTACAAATTATTAGCCGAAACAAATGGGAGGACTGTATGTGAAATTGTGGTCCCTACACATTAAATGAAATGCAGAATTAAGGCACCAATCTGAGCATTTGCGCAAAAATACTCTCTTTGGCTTTAATTAGGTATTTGAAATGAAATTAAACTGGTATTATTTGAATTTGAGTAGTTGTTTTAGAATGCTTTTTCTGCCTAACAGCATTTGTACATCACTTTATGGTTTTCAAAGCACTTTCGTATATGTGATTCAGTTTCATCCCCTGAATGGACTTATGAGCTAACAAGAGCTTCATTTTTCTCCCTTTGAAAGTTGGGAACAGAGACTCAGGAGTGTTAAAGTGAATAATCACTATTACATAGCTGAGAAGTGGCCGAGCCGTGGCCACATGGTCTCTCTCACGTGGTCTCCATGTCCATTGTTTCTCTTTTCACTTGTCTACTTTGTCTAAATCGGAGGCATAAATAATTTCTCCCCCAAGAAGCGGGGTACATCTTGAAGTCACCCCTCCAAGTCTCTAGGTAAAACCTTGGCATCAAATCCTGATTGTACTATTTCCTGGCTGTATGATCCTGAGCAAGTTACATAACCACTTTGTGCCCAGAAGATACAATCAAGCTCTTAGAACCATGTCTGACACATAGTAACAAGGAGATAAGTGTTTATTATTTCATTTCTAGTCCTCTAATTGGTAAGTGGGAGGAGCGGGAGGAAAGAAGGCAAGAATGTCTTGAATCATAATAGAAAGAATGGACTCTGAATCCCTGACAAGGATAACTTTTCTGTTTTCACACAGATTAGGCATACCTGTCCCATGGGAAGCAACCCAGAGCTGTGGTAGCCAGCCCCAGGCAGGGCAACAGCAGAATCCATGAATTTTTTCTTAAAACCTAGAGCCTTCAAGAAGAGCCTGAGAGTGTAGAGGATGCAGGCAGGGGAAAGAGGGACTCAGCTATGAACCTGATTATAACACATCACAATTTCCATTTTTCCAGCTCCTTCTTTGTGCTAGTTATTGTTGTGGGCACTTATCTGTGAAACATTATTCATTGCTCATAGTGGTATTGTGAGACATAAATTACTATCCTCAAATTATAGAGGCAGAAATGAAAGGTCAGAAAGACTATGTGATTTTTCCAAAGTGAGACGAAAAAATAAAGGATTTTGTTCTCCCTGTAGGGAAAGTTAAATTAGAAGCTCTTTGTATCAGCAAAGGAAACCAAGCCCAGCAAAACTTGGGCCTCATGCTAAGCGTCCATGGGGGCTGTCATGATGAGGATGGAGTTAAATGTGACCCCAAAATTACAATCCAGCCTGACAAAAATGTCTGTCCACTTGGGTGCCACTAAGCAGGTGGGTAAGAATAGGGAATTGCCAACCTAACTGGCTAGATGAGAGAACAGTGGAGTTCTGGGAAGGGGATGGTCCCTGAGATTTCAGACTAGCTCTGCCTATGGCAGGTGAACTGAAGATGAGGGGCCCACTGGCTGTGCCCCCATCAAGTCCAAGGAAACCCTAGATTCAGCCTGATGGGACAAAATCACTCTTAGAAGGTTCCAGGTAACTATCCACTTAACCTTGACGGGTGCCTTCCTTTTTGGCCTAAAGAGTGGGGAGAAAACCCAGCCCCTGCAGGACCATCCAGCAGTGCAGGCACCTTCATGCCTACCTGGTGTCTTTCAGTCTCAGGCTTTCTTCCCCAGCCTGTCATGCCTTCCCCTTGCCCAAGAGCCAGAAGAATAGCTTATTTTTACAGCTGCATAGACATGAGAGGGTACATAAAGCTGAGTCTCTTGGCCCTTCTGAGTTGGTAGCAATGGAGAACTGAAACCAAATCTGTTCATATCAAAAGACCCCAAGAGTTTGTGGGCAAAATGTGTGAAATTCCTTTAGTTTTCATGGTGGTCTGCTCTCCAGTGGAGCCAGTGACATGGAATATAGCCATCTCTAAGATTCCTTTTGGCTCATCCACACCCACATCTTGGTCTAATCCATTTATTCAGACTCTTTGTACTATAAGGGGGAAGCTGTTGAACAAGTCAGTGCTGTTAGAAGTACAGGTGTTAAGCAAGCAGATGTCAGGGAGGCACAAACTTGTCTGAAGGAGTCAAGAAGCCTCTAATGGCATCTAGGCTTAACTGACGTTAAGAATTATTCCCCATCAGCAAAGAAGGTTTGGGATAAGCTGCTGTCCTACACCAAGTTCTGATGTGTCCTAGAGATGCGTTTAGCCTCCCCCTTCCCCAGCACACACCTGAGCATCCAGTGCCAGGTCCTTCAGAGATAATCTAGGTACCTAATTGAAATTCCTTTTGAGGAATCTGCCCCTGCTGCCCAGTTTCTCCTACTTTTTCCTCCTTGGGGATTGCAGTCCAGATGTAAACCCACCTAATTTACCGACATCTTTCTCAGGCCCTGGGTTCTGCTTCTGGTATTCCATAATACCACCGTGGACTTTCCTGACAGGGCACCTGGATACCCATCCCTCCCTCGGAATCAAAGACACCTAGAGGCATTGGTTTTGCAAACTTTCACTGCTCCAGGCCTAGCGACTGCATGTACTGCTGGTCCCCTCAGCCCATATCAGGCTTCTCTGCCCTGCACCATGTTGGTATCCTTCTGGTCCCAGCAGGCTATGTGGCTGCAGCAGTATGCCATGCAACAGAAGAGCTCCCAAGAGCCTGCATCCTGGTGTCTTGTCTGTCCCTGGATGCCAGACATTTACATTCATTGACCTTTGAGAACTTCTGTCTCATTATTTGCCTTCTGGTCCCCAGAACCTCAGCTTGCTTTGACCATGACTAGTTTCTTGCTTGACTTCCTGGCTTCTTTTTGTTCCACTGGAATCTACTCTCTGTTTTGCCCTCCAGGACCCTATTTTGTACCTGGATGTCACTGTGTCCTAGCCCTTTTTGCTTATTCTATTCTGCTCCAGCCTTTGACCAAGAGCATCTTATTGTAGCATCAGCATGGATAGGGGTATATAAAGCTGAGTCTCCTGATCCCTCTGAATTGGTAGCTATGGTAGCTTTGTGTGTTTGTTCCTGTGTTTGAGCCAAGGTCACAGGCAGAGGTTAATGCTTTCTGGTCTTACCACTACCAAAAGGGAAGTTGTAAAAGTAAAAATAAATCCCCAAAGCACTGTCTGTCTCCAACACAAGTTTTGACCTTGCAAGGCTCTGCATCATTACTTGTTATACAGATTAGGTCCAGGTGACTTTTGGCCAGGACTCAAAAAATGCACTGTGAGGCAATCCTATGGTATCTGTATTTGTAATCACTAAACTTTCACATAATTTACCCACTAATTATAGGAGAACAATTACAATGTTACAAAACTTTAGAATCTATGCAACAGTCGTCATAATAATGATAATGATAATAGGCAAATTTATTGCGTGCTTACTCTGTATCACGCAGTATGCCAAGCATTTCACATGGATTATCTCATTGAATCTTCCCAACAACCCTGTGCTGTTATTATCCTCATTCCATAGATGAAAGAGGCACAGAGAAGTTAAGTAATTTGCCTGAAGCTCTCCAACTAATTAGTGGTGGAACCAGGATTTGAACCCCGTCAGCCAGACTCTATAGCCCTAAAAACCATTAAGGTTTTGTTTGGTTATTGTTTTTCCACACAGTCTGGCTTTGCGGTGCTGAAGAATATGTTCTATTTTAGAAAGTTATTTTGAAATGTAAAAAAGACAGTTGTTCTCATGATGGTAACTTCCTAGATATGACATTCCAGTTTTAATATTTTTTAATTGATTTTGATTATGTTGTTATGTATTTCAGAGTTCACTTTATAAAACAAGCGCTCACAACTAATGGGAGTCGCCATGGGAGAGTTCACTATTTTAGGGCAAGTGCCCGAATTTTTCACTTCACTTGGTCTATAAGCTTGAAGCATGATGTATCCTAAATATTTATCTTTTTCAGTAGCTTCATTAGTTGTCAGATATCGTTGTTAAATACTCTCAGACTGACCAACTGGTCTAGAGATGTAATGGACTTTAGCTAAACTGTATGGTTAGTAGCAATGACAACTGGTCCTGCTCGTTAGAGAGAAGTAATATGAAGGGGGGAGCAGAAATTTGCACTTTTGATAACCAAGCTTCTAATGTCACATTCTTTGAAACAGAGCCTACCTACTCTTTGCCAAAGCAGCTGACATGGGAAACTTGAAAGCTATGGAGAAAATGGCTGATGCTTTGCTATTTGGAAGTTTTGGCACGCAGAATGTTACAGCAGCGATCCAACTGTACGAGTCCTTGGCCAAAGAAGGATCATATAAAGCCCAAAACGTGAGTTTTGAAAGAGGTGTAAACCTTAAATAGCTACCTCCTGAAGTAAGTGCAGACAAC